GGAAATCACCTGTCTCTGGATGATACTTGTAAGTAAGCTACTTAAGATCTAACTAGATATAGAGCTTGCAGTAACACAGATGCATAATCAAAGGCTACCATGCCACTGTTTGTTCTAAGGGATTTCTCTGATATTGCTCTACCCTGTACCCTATTCCAAACATACTCCTTGTAGCCAATGAAGTTCTCCTCTGTACCTAGCATGGGAGACTTGTTGGGAGAGGTTCTAGATTATGACTTGGGGTCCCCTTAGTTCAGTGGACTAAGGGAAACTATCCTTTTTGGCCCCCCAACCTGGGGAAGTCCCCCAAGTTCTTGTATTGGGTCGAGTACCCGTAGGACTATTAGGCCTGTGTTTTCCAGAGGACACGGGACCCAGACAGTCCCTTCTCGGGGTGGTGGCAGCACATGTTACCCCCGGACTCTGCGGTGGGGCTCGAAAGGGGTTCTGCCAGGGCTTAGTCGCCCCTGGAGAGACACATGGAGTCCGGAAGGTAGACGGGCATAGTGAGGTGGGAGGCGCAACGCAGGAGCTTCCCCCTACTGGCCCGCCACAGCTCCTACGCTGGGGGTCTTTAAGAGGAGGCTTGACGTTTAGCTGGCTGGGGTCATTTGAGCCCAGTTTTCTCTCCTGCCCACGGCAGGGGGTCAGACTAGAAGATCTACAAGGTCCCTTCCGACCCTACATCTATGAATCTAAGTGGATGTGGAACATTGGAACACCTTTTATTTTTCATTTCATAAATCTTTAGTACTTTCATTTTAATTTAGAAGAAGAATTGGAGGGAAAAAGTTCCAATGGAAAGAAAACCCTGAATATCACTTGTAAAAACTGATATATACCAGCTTTTCTTTTGAAAGCTAGCTGGGCTGACCTCCCCGCCCCCACCTGATCTAGCACTAGAATTGGGGAGTCAGCCCACCTAGACTGATTGCCCGCCCCCAGCCCAATCTAGCAAAACATCAAAACAGCCTCACTGTTTTGACAAAGCAAAATGGAACAGCTGTTTTAACGAATCAAAATGACATTTGAAACATAATGCTGTTCCATTGAAACCTCAAAACTCAAGGCAAAATGGAATGGTGCTGTTTTGCACAGCCTTATCACATAACAGAATGATGGCTGAAGAGCCCCAGCCTACAGAGGGAGGTGAAAAACCAAAGACAACTGCTAATGTATATAACACTCGCTATATAAGTATGGGAATGACATTTCTTTGAACCTGTCATTGCGGGGTTGGGGGAGGATTCTAAAAAAAAAAAAGAAGCAAATTAGCAATTTACATGGTGAAGAAAGTGTGGTTGTCTCAAAGCAAAAACAATGACGACTTCATGGATATTTTAAATTAGGAGGAGTGGCTCTATTAGACAGACGGTGGAGAGCAGAACATATTTGTTTTCTTGTAGATCACATTGCATTAAATGGTTGATACTGATCATCAGTTATAAATGGAAAATGAAGGATGTGCCTGTTCAATAAACATGTTTGCATAAGGATTTCAACACATTCTCTGAGAAAATATAATTTAAGATTTTATTTCAGAGCCATCTTGAGGATATTGTATATGAAGCACTTCTGGGTTCCTTTCTTTGTAATATACTCAGTACTCATATGCACTAGTGCTTGAGTCAATCAGATTATCAATACCAAGAAGCAAAATAATTTCAGATAATATTTCTAATAGACTAGAGGTGAGGGGGTTGCCAGGCCTCTGGAAAATGAAGGATTCAGAAGTTTTATTGTTGAGTTTTCTTTTTCTTTATGTATTTACATACATTTCAGACTTTGAGCTACTTTGCTGTTTGGTTTTGAAGGCTTATTTACTAAAGAGGGGTGAAATAAGTTTATGAACCCAAGATCTTGGAACTGTTTGAATCAAGTTAATGTTCACATGTATTTTGACTAGAAATATTTAACTACTAGTTTAGAAAAGCCAGATTCTCTAGTCATGTGCCTCTTAACTATTTTTTTTTACTAGATTGTTGTTAATTGGTTTCAGTGGTTAATAATTTGCTTTGTTTGTTAGCGTCCAGGGGGAATATCAGTATAACACAAAATCGGATTTTTTTAAAAACAAAACACTCACTGCCTAAACAATATGACAATAATCATGTTTTTCATTTTCCTGAAAAAGAAATACTTTGTTTTTTTGGTGAGTTTGGGAGTAATACGGTACTATCAAAACACATTTTTGGGGCACTTCAAGTATACTTCAATAGGTTCATAGTTTAATCCAACTTCTGAAAAAATTAGCAAATAACACTTTATTATAAATTTATTTTTCTTTAAATGTAAAGACTGGATGCAACATCCTCCTGAAGCCCTTCCCTCACCATAGCAGAATCACTTACTTTCTACCCATCCCAAAATTTTCAGAATAATCATATGATTCATAGAACCACTAGTGCCTTGAAGGGATTCTTTTTTTTTCCTGAAATCCCTTGACCACGTACAATACAGGTAAAGCAGTTGGTGAGCGGGAAGGATACATTTCTTGACCCTTCCTGTTCTGCATTTTTACTTGTTCTTTTTCCCCTCCTACATGACCAATAATTGTCTGATCTCCTTTATTTATTTAATTTCACTTACTTTAACTCCTAGAAAACCCACACAGGATCAGGACTCCACTGTGGTAGATGCTATATGAAGAAAAAGCCCGTAAACATATAATTATGTTTTTCTCCTACAAGACAGTAATTTGAAAATATCAAGCTGCCTTCACATTAACCATGAACAGTTCATCATTGTTCAAGCTTTATTTTAGGTTTTGTAATGCGTTGTTCTTGGAATCCAGGTTCAATTCCAAGCTTTATTTTAGTCCTACACAGACTTTTTTTACATTTTAATTTTATTTAGTGTTGTCTTCTAGTCATGACTAAATGTCAAGTCCAATTTCTGGATGACTTTTTTCCCCTAAGACTTTTATAATAATTTTTGGGGAAAATAATGAATATTGGACTCAACATTTGAGTTGCCACCGCTGCTCCGTTGCCAAGGCAGCCCTGTGTGGGCTCTGGCCGGCTGCAGCAGGGAACGCTGGAAGTGGGGAGCACTTTCCTCCTGCACTGAGCACAATCCCCGCTGCTGCTGTTCAGTCCAGAAGGGTGAGTGCAGGACATGTGGGGTCAGGGCTGCCCCCTTCTCCCTGCCTGTACCACAGGGCTGGGGCAAGGGTACTGGGAGTGAGCAGGCATGCAGGAGCTGTCCCAGCCCCAAGGACTGGGGCATCCCCACGGCCCTCCCCTGCTTCCCCTGCCCTTACCTGAACTTCCCACACGGGTGCAGCCATGGACAGCCCTGCGGTGCAGGCCAGAAGCCCCTCCTAGGCAGGGTCTTCCAGCTGGTGGGGCAGGGCCAGGGGGGCCCTGCTGTTGCAGGAGCCTGCTGTGGCATTTCCTCAATCCTACTGCCCTGCCTCCTATCATCTTTGACAGGAGCCAGGGGCAGATAAATATTAATTTCCTAAATTTTTTAGGGGCCCCATGGGCCGGATGGAATGGCCTGGTATTCACCCAGGAAGCGGGAGATCCAGGTTTTAGTCCATGTTCAGTCTTGGGGAAATCAAATCCACGTACCCCTAAGAATATTTGTTGGGCCTCAGAGCAACTATTCTAGTGGCATTTTGTGAACTGTTCCATATACAAGCACAGTCCTTGCAGCAGAAACTGGAAACTAGGATTCTCCCTCCCAAGTAAATGCCCTAACCAAGAGGATATAAAGCCTAATATAAGTACATAAATACTAGAAACGCACTGATACATCGGTCTGATATCAGATCGGTACTGATATGAAAAAAATTGTCTATATAGGATATCGGCCCTATGGGGCCGATAATTTGGCCAATAAATGCCCATGCTGTGTGCAACCACAGCATAGCACAGAGCGAAGCCGGCAGCGTGGAGAGCTGCCTTCAGCTGTTAAGTGGCGAGGGAAGGAAGGGACAAGGGAGGAGGATCATTTCCCCTGCAGTGAGGGTGGGGGCAGGGGCCCAGGCGGGGCGAAGGGGGGTGCGGGACAGAGCTGCAGCTTGTGGGGTGTGGGGACTCCCACTGCTGCTTGCACCCTGGGAGGGTGGGGGCGGTGGGGCATGTGCCCCCAGGTCTGTGCAGGGTGAGCTGCAGCTGCGGGGTGGAGCCAGAGCAGGCGCTGCATGGGGCTCTTTTCGGTGTGGGCTGGGCTCAAAGCACTCCATATTTTGCCGCAGCTCTGTTCCAGCAGAGCTTCAGCAACATTTGGGGTGGCTGCAGCCTCCTCCTGAAAGCAGCAGCAGGAGCTGCCTCCACCCCACAAACCACTCCTCCCTCCTGCACCTCCCCCTGCCCCCCTGTGCAGTGCCTATCAATGCCCCCTCCCTCACCATGGGAGGTATTGATCTGCCCCCCACACCCCTTCCCACCCTGCCCCCCTTCCATCACACCAGATTTACCACCTGGAGGCAGCTGTATCGAATATCAGATTGGTATCAGCCGATATGCCTCCTTAAATATCGGCTATTGGTATCAGCCCCCAGAATTTCTACTGGTGCACCCCTAATAAATACCTTTTCATTTCTGGTCCTGTGTGCCTTGAATTTTGGCATTAGATGTAGGAGCTACAGGATGAAAGAGGAGCCAGCTGTAAAGTAGCTAACATTTTTTAGATATATTTACAGGACCTTTCATTATGTCTTTTTACGAAATGTTGTTGAACTTTCTGCCTTGAACCCTAGAGTTTATCACAGAACGTTCAGAATCCTGTGGAGTAGCAACAGCTCTGCACTTGTTTTGAACACTGAAACCACGATTTGTAATAAGATGTTAAATTTATATCAAGTGATTATGAATCTGAGGTTGATGAAGGAGTACAGAAGATTGGCATTTTAATATAGGCTTTTGGTATCACAAGACAAGTTTGATACATGTTCAACAGGG